TCACTGACTCCACATGACGACTTTAGGAGAAAAACACTTACTCACACATTCATTCATCATCCAGTGCTTAATGAAGCGTCTCTATGAGCCAGGCACTAGGATGGGTGGCTGGATGGAGGAGTCAAGTGTGGACAGACCAATGCTGCTCCATACCTTTCAGAGTGCTGACTTTACAGAAAGGAAGCAGGCTTCAAGGAAGTTTACTAACTTGCCCCTGACACTCAGCTAGGTGCGCGCAGTGGGGGCAAGGCTGGGACTGGAGGCAGCTGGTCTCTATAGCTGGTGCTGTGTATTACTCTGGGATATTATGAAGGAATGCCTGCCTACTCTTCATTTTACTGCAGTAATCAGATATTTGCAGAAAGACCAGGCATTGTTGAAACACTGTTGGCATCCAAGTTACAATTATTTTCTTACCTGTGGAAACAATTCCAAGGCGTTCACTCTGCTTAGCATTGCTAAGACAAAGGCAGCAGTTTTCCCGGTTCCAGACTGGCTTTGTGCTATGAGGTTCTGGGGACTGTGAAAAAGAGGAGAGGGCTGGGTATAAATTGAACATGAGACCCTGGGTATAAATAGAAGAAACCAAAAAACAACCAACTTGGAAGACCACTACCCTGTAAACTCACGGATGTGCAAGCATCATAGGGAGGGCCATCTCTTGGATTTTGGATGGTCTGTTAAATCCCATTGCATAAATCCCTTTTAACAACTCTTCCTTTCTGTAAAATGATAAATAGAAACACAGGTAGATAGCTAAATAAATAAATAAACAAAATTCTCAAACATGCAAAGCCTCTGCTGGTTAGCAGTCTTTAGAACTGTACACTTCAAAGATGCACTTTGGAGGCAAGCCAAACTGAAATTGAGCATTGTCACTTTTCTATGACATGGTGCCCGACAGAGGCAGCTTAAGAAGGGCTTATTTTGGCCCAGGGTTTAAGAAGGGATAGAGTCCACTTTGGTGGTGGGGGAGGGCATGCTGGTTCGAGTGTGAGGCTGCTGTTTTCACTGTGTCTTTTTAGTGTGTCTGCAGTCAGAAAACAGAGAGATACAAGCTGATGCTCGGCTTGCATTTCTCTCAGATCCCAGTGCCACAAGCGTGGTGTTCTTTCCTCTTCACCTAAACCCCACCGGAAACACCCTCAGAGACACCCCCATATATGTATGACCTAGGTCATTCCAAATCCAGTTAAGCTGGCAGTGAAGACTTATCATCTACAAGCTCTGAAAACAATACTTAGAAATACATTATCTATATCTCACCCCTGCCTGCCTAACTATATACAAACGTGCCTCCAAGTTAATAACCACTAAGATAATAATCTAGGCTGGAAGGCCATGTTAAGGGATGTGGGAAAGGCCTACAGCCAAATTTTCTGTTAGGGAGATGGCTGTGGGTGAAGATTCACTGGGTAAAAGGAGTATAGCCATTTACTACAAGTGTTATTTTTCCATGAACTGGGAAACAAAACGGAATTTAGAATGATAGAAATTTTCAGAAAACAAAACATTTTACTGGGGTGAAATCATTTCTCTCACCTTGCTGACATAAGAACTTTAAATATATCTTTCCTATACTTTTCTGCAAAATGTCAGAATGAGAGCAACACGAGTGGGCTGGAATGTTGACACCTTTCGTGACTTACTCATACTTTTGAATGTCCTTTTCTTTTTTGTCTTTTTTTTTTTTTTCAAGACAGTGTTTCACTATGTAGCCCTGGATTTCCTGGCACTCTCTCTGTAGACCAGGCTGGCCTCAGACTCAGCGATCACCCACCTCTGTCTCCTGACTACATTTGGATGTTCTTAATGTACTACATTATATGGTGGATGACTGGCAGCCACATTTTAACCGCAAATAGGACTCTACCACTTAGAACATGTCTGGGCATCAGGATGCTGGATATTTTCCTTTATATAAGTTCATAGGTTACTACATCTTTCTCTTGGAAACCACATATTGGGTGTTCCCAATTGGGACCCTGGCAACAAAGGCCAAATGAGAAACAGGAATCTAATCCTCTGCAATCAAGTAAGATATCTTCCAGATCCACAAACCATTTCTATACTACAAAGTAAAAATTTCCTGCTAAATATAAGCAACATCAAGCTACAGCAAGTCCTGGGATGAGGGATACAGCAGCTGTTCACACTCACTCACAGGCCCTAAATTCAAGCAATGGGGTTCCTGAGGCATGAGCAAAAGGTGTGTCTAGATTTGCCTTTTGGAGGTTGGCCAAACTGCTACCTAACCAGGTCCATTCTGCCTACTGTGTATGGCAGGCAAAATAAGCCTGGTTTGGCCACGTGCATCTGTTATCTTTCCTTTTTTTATTAGAATATATTTTCTTCATACTGATTTCAGCCCTAGGGGATGAAAACTCATTATGATTAGTAAAGTAGGCTTATACTTTTGAAAAGGTGGCTAAGGGTATTATTTGTGTCATCAATGCCTGTGTTGATTCTGATATGGAGAGTGACAATATGGCTGTGCTTGGTTTGGTATCCTTCTGACTCCTGTAAGATTAAAATATTTACCTTTACCAAAATATGCTAGGTATGCTAGGCAACTTGGGTATCCAAGCTTGAGTTTAATTGCATGTAATATATACAATCTATTTTAATACAACATACTAGAAAATAAAGGGAGTTCCGATGTTTTTTAGTACCAGCATACTAGCTAGTGCTTGCTAGCATAAGCATTCTTACATGCCAAGAGTTAAGATACTCACAGCCGTAATTCTTCAAATGTTTTCACCGAGTAGAGTGGAGAGCTGGGATCTTTCTGTAAGACTTCCACACGGTGGCTGGATTCTACTAAGGACTGACGGATTAACTTGTTTAAGAGTGAATTGGCTGCCAAATCCACTAGAAAAGCAAAAACAAAAGGGGACATCAAGCTTCCTAAATGGCATCTAATTAGTTGTATACTCAGTAGAAGTATACACAACAACTGCAACTTATTCTCATCTTTCTTCTAAAAGAAAGTTCTAGAAGGAATACCATAGCACTGAGAAGTCCCTCTTTTACAAAGTTCCAGTTTCTCATGTCTGTTGCACCAACTCCTGACCTTGAGCAAACCAACATTTAATCATGACAGAACCTAATTCTTCCCTGTAAAATTTGAAAATTCTTGCAGTTTCCATTTTGTCTAAAGAAATATACCCCCTCCTAATTTAGTATTTTTGTCTCAAAGTATTCATTCAAAAAGAAAGTAAAGATAGTGCTTTCCCAGTGCAGTCACATTCAGTAATATTGTTAAAGTGATAATAAACTAAGTAATACTAGAAAACTACATGCAAACAAATGTCTCTTACCTACATCGTCTTCATCATCATCATCTTCGGTGTTAAGAGAGCCGTCTAAAAGGTAAAAGAGAAATAATTGTAAAGAAAAAAAATATAGTGCACCCTTAAAATTTCTCACAGGTTTTTACCGATTGGGAAGGTGGTAGAGGATCGTGCATGTAAATTAAAAGGACCCAAAGCTATTTCAGCTAGCAGATACCGGGTGAAAGCAAAGATGTTTAATTAAGCCAGTCTGAATCAGCCTAGCCGCACTCACCTATGTTTGGGACTGTGGTACTCCTAATACCACGGAGGTTCTTCCTGGGGTGGACGAGATTTGAAAACTATTGAAAGGCACAAATTTCAAGCAATGTTAGGAAGCAGGACATGAAGCAGGAAGCCTGGTGCTATCCTACAGCAGGGGCAGGGAAGACTACCCCAAACTGCTTCCTTTGCAAATGTTAAGGATTAACGATTTCATTAATCGGTCCACTGTATGAATTATTCTATAAAAGGATGGCAGTTTCCACAGTCTCTTGGTCTGAATATGGGCAGCACCTGGGTGAAAGGGGGTTTACACTACCTACAGGGGAAAGGTGGCTACAGAGATAGGAAACCTGCTAAATGATCAAAATTAGGAGAGAAGACTCAGTAGAACTAGGACTAGCAGCTGCGTTCTCTATCTGGATTTCCAGGGGTCTTTGCCCTTTCAAATCAAAGGTCTGCACTCCCTCTGGGTGTCTCCCTTTCCATGGCCCTTCCACTCCTGCCCACACCTCCCCCATCACTTGACACCCACTCCAAACGCCCGAGGGGCGCAGCCCTCCCCCGGGGACTTCCCTCGGGAGTCCTTGTTCTAGCTCCCGCCCGTGGGCCCTCCCCTGTTCAGCGGCGGTTACGTGGCTGTTCAGCCGCTCGCTCTCTGCCGCCCCAGCGTCGCCTCCCCAAAGTAACGACGCCATAGCTGCGGTCTCCGCTCTCGCCCCCGGCACGTGCTGCCACCCCCGCGCGGGGCAGCGCCGGCTCGGCTCAGTGGCCAATGGTCGGGCTCCCGGACCGGCGTCAGCCTCGCGACCACCCGTGGCGCGGAGCAGTGCGCAGGCGCGGGCCCAGCGCCGGGCGGGAGGAGGGAGAGCGAGGTGCGGGGCGCAGCCGTGCGGGGCACCCGCGAGCTTTCCGTTTGGCCAGCCGGCCATCCGCACAGCTGAGAGAAACTGGGCACGAAGGCCGTACCCACACCGCGCTGCAGGCCCTCGTGCTGGTGTCTACCCGGACAGCTCCGCCTGGGCATTAACGGTGTGAGATTGCACAGGACAGTGGAGGGACAGATGGGCTTGATCGGAGACATCTGTCTCAGTCCTGGTATTTCTGATGTGCTCACATACACATGCATTTTAATTTTTATTCTAAGGCGTAGCTCCTTGTTAAAGCAACCCCGACAGCCACTACCTACATGATACATTGCACAGCTCGGGGGTAGATCCCCTATGTTAAGTTTGGACCAAAGCACCACGATTTTCTGTTTTCCGACTGGAATTTTAAGAGTCGTGGCAACATTTCCAGAATCAGAAAAAATAGAAAAGCAGCATTAGTGTCGCCATGAGCTCTCCGTGGTGCTGAAGCTTTGCCCTGCACTGTCACAATCTTTTCATTCAGGCTATAGCATTTCCCTTTAGCCTTAACATTAGCATTCTAATGTAAATGTTTTTTGACTCTCAATGTTAAATTTCTGTTAATTAAACGATGCGCAAGATTGGGACACGATCTTCAATCTCTTAGTTTTCATACAGGATAGCCAGCATTTAAAATCTATTTTAGACCAGGATTATAATTTCGCCATTTGTTCTTGTGTTGATTGTGCCTTGGGGTGAAGACAGGGCTGCATCAGAATCTTGCACTTACGATGGGTTTTGGCTTAAAAGCCGACACCCGGGTCTCGGAACTACATTTCCCAGAACCCCAGTCGTGCCTCCCGTGAGTCCGCGCATGCTTACTGGAGACAGGAAGCCACACTTACTGCTAGTCGCGTGGCCGAGCGCCGCTGACCGGAAGGTAAGTGTTGGTTCTCCCAGGTGGGCTGCTTTGAATCCTAAAGAGGAATGAGCAAGCTAGGGGAGGGTAAATGGATACCTCCTGCCCTGGTACGTAAGGGCTTCAAGGCGGCGCTGGCGTATGAAGTAGGGCTTAGGACATCGCGTGTTGTGTCGTGCCTGGGACTTGGAGCTAAGAAAGTCCCACCAGCTGGGCTTAGGTTCTGCAACTGGCTTAGAGGGCCTCTGCTGCACCAGAATTGCTCAAATGCAAACGGTAGTAGCCCAGTAAAGATTGTATTGGGGGGGGGGCAGGTGTGGCGCAAACCAGCAGTTTATTTTGGGTTTTGCTTTTACGCGACACATTTCAGTTCAGTCTTGAACTCTATCAGGAGGAAATGTCTGTTCCGCCTCTCTCTCCCCCACCCCCAAATTTCAAAAAGATTTGTACTTTCGAGGCTTGCTATTTTAGGGTGGCTGCATAATGCACCCAGGAATTCCCTTTGTGGTTATTTGGTCACTGGATTTCACTGATAAACCTAGTGTGCCAGGCCGAGTCTTGGGGTCATCATTTTGAAAACAAATCGGCCTCATGACTGGGTTGATCTCATGCTTAGGAGCTAACTGGGATACTTAACTTGAAAACCCTATTTTGGGAGTTTGAACTTTGAGGTACAGGGAAAGGAAAACTTTTATTTTTTAAAAGCTGTTAAACTTAGTCCTATACCTAGAGTTTAAGCTTTTCCTCATGCTCTGCATGTATGACAGATTTTGTTTGAGTGACAACATGTAATTTGTATTCCCAGGCATTTGGGTTTGTGTCATTGTTCTGTCTCAGATACACCACTGGAGTTTGCAGTTTTTACTTTCTTGGAGTCACTGATTATCTTGCTTCCTAATAACCTGTGTAGTTGTGGGTGGCACTGGGTAAGTGTATTGATAGCCTCAAATATTGTTCAGAGTTTCAGCAACTAGCAATGGCAGGGCTATTCGTGTTTGCAGTGTTTCCTTCTCCAGCAAGCACTGTGCTGTCACCTTTCAGGCCTAAGTTTAGTGCTTGAAAGACAACTCTGATCTCAGTCCTTACTGGATTGTCAAGGTTATCTATTAAGAATGTTAAGTTCTAGCAAAAAAAAAAAAAAAAAAAACAGAACAACAGAACTAGTATTTTGATCTGTACCCAGAAATCTATTTTTGTGTCTTCATGTCAAGCTATATAAACTTTGAATATCATTAGATGACCAGCGGGAGAATCATAGCTTAGAGCGGAGGTCTTCTTATACTGGGAAGTACTTAAAACAAGGTTCATATTCATCATGTTCCAAATTCTTTAATAGTTGAGCTTAATGCCCACTAATTAAAAAATCACCACAGTTTGCAAGTCTTTTCAAAATGGCACTTATTATTGACAAAATCCACATTTCAGATAGTTTGCTCCCCCCCCCCCAATTGCTGCATTTGAGAACAGCAATTTAGAAATTTAAATGGTGTATGATACCTGATGTGACATAATAAAGTTAGGGAGGGCCAATGAAGTCCCTACTCTGTGTTCTGCAGGCCTTCCAAGTCAGTTGTATTTGAAAGGAGAGAGATAAAGAACTAGGCTATGCTAAATCCCGTGTTAAAAAGACTTAAGAAGGAGAAAGGGGGAAAGGAAACTTCTTGGGCATGACACCATTTGCAAGGTCACAACGGACACCCCACCGAAGGGCAGATCGTTTCTTCTCAGTTGGTACTAAGTAATTGTTTGGAACATATACATGTTGAGGCTTGGACTGGGGTTCTGTTCTGGAAAGCATCTGTCCTCGGACATTCCAGCGTAGCTCTTTTCTGTGATCTTCCCCAGGAAACCGCATTGAATCCCAATCCCTTTTGTACTCAAAATATCTGGCTACTCGGTCTATCTTGCCCCGGTTCCGGCTTAACTGATCTAGCCTGGGGAGAATAAAGGACTTTGGTCTGCTGGCTACAATCAAGTCTTGTTCATAAACAGGAGGGCCCATTTCTTCTCTTTGTAGATAGCAAATGAGCTGATTTTCTTGTGAAATTCCTTGATAGTCATGTGGTATGTTAAATTTTTGTGAAGCATCACTTGGAGATTCTGTGCCTTCTTGAAATTGCAGGTTCATCAGCCTGTGTCTTAAGTCCCAGAGATCCAAATCACTTTCTGTACCAGATTCAGATTCACTGATAACAGACTCATCTGTCACCAGTACTTCCCCATCTGGCTTTCTGCGCAGAACCTTTCTCTTCATCACTGGCTTCCTGCATTTTTGGGAAGCCTCTGAGACTGTTGATGAAGTTACACGGCTTCTTATATGTGGGTAGTGCAGCTGCATAGGAAGGGCAGGTCTGTTTCCTGGTGTCACTGAGGCTTTACTGTAGGGATCATACTGGCTAGCCTGAGCTTCTCTCCTAATATCTCCTTCGCCCCGCCCTGCACAGATATGTGTAAAAGCTGTAGCAGCAGCTAACATTCGTTCTTCTGGATCCATAGTGGCCCATTTTTGTCCACCAGGTCCTATCAGTTGCTCCATTGCTTCCTCTACATTATAAGGCTGTCTGTAAGAGATAAACACTGGTCAGTTTCCACCTCAATAATTGCTTGTTCATGTCTCAATTTTATAGACAAATGGAAAATGCAAAGCATTAATAAATTCAGTAGCTGCGGCAGAGATACAGCCATTACTTGCCTTCATTTCTACTCTTTTTCTTACACTTTCTATTGCCTTGTCACATTTAGTGGTTCCCATAATGTGGGCTGAATATTACATGAAATGGACCATGGTGACCAGTGAACATTATATAACATGTTTAGAGGATGCTTTATGTATATGACATTACTCTTGTGTTTATTAATCTATATGTCTTACATTCTAGGATTAGTTCTTTTTCACAGGAAGCTTCAAGAAGTTAACTTGCCCAAAGGTACACAGCTAGTAAATAGTGGAGCTGGAATCGCACCTCAGCAATCTGAATCAGACTGAGTCCTTGATAATGGTCTAGACATCAAAAAAAGCAACGAGGTGGGGTATACACACACATGGGTGTGGATATATTCCAAGACAAATCTATCCTAATAAAAATAACAAGTATCCAAATCTACCACCTAAACACCTAGTAGTTGGTTTCCTGACTGGGTTTAAGGTAATTAGCTACTGCCTAATACTTTGTTTCCCTACTCTTTCTCTTGAAATTGAAAAGTATATGCTTATAATTTTAAAAGATTTCCCCTCTCTGATGAAATTTCTCTCTAAAAGACAGTCTCTTAGCAGTTTTCTAGAATTTTCTGTATTCACACTAAATTTTTCCACACTATAAAGAAACATGGTACAAAACCTCTCTGAATTTGAAGAGTTGTTGTGATTCAGCTTTGTCAGCACATAAAAACTTACTTTACCATTTAATGTGGTGTCAGAGTTATCCAGTCCCTTACTGACATTATCTAGACTTACAATCACTTGTTATGAACACTGAATGTCTTATAAGCTTTTACACACTTGCATAAGCATGTAGCACGGGTTCAATTTCCAGCATGGGATTACTTCGAAGTGAGTTTTACACCCCTCCACAATGGTATGCCATCAAACTTTCCCATCCTTGTAGACTGTTCCAGAATTAACTGTTCTCAAATACTTGAATATGTTTTACTTAGCAATGCCTTTCCCCTAGTGACTGATTGCCTAGCATATAGGAGGAGGCTCTTCAATCCAATTCCTAGTGTTATCTCCCCCCTCCCTTCTCTGATAATTTAATAAGAAAAGGCATTTTTCCATATTCTAGTAACTTTAGTTTCATTTATAAGATTTAAATGTTTAATCTTCTATCATAAATACACTCCAAAGATTAAAAGGGAACCATTTAGTCACAGTCAGTCTTAGAACAGACATAGAAATGCTAACCAAGTAACTACAGTGACAGGAGAGTTAGAACCACCACAGTGTTGAGACTGTAGTATTGTTGCCCTTTGACAGCCTCCTGGAATATATAAGAAATAATCAACTTCCAGGTCCAAATTATGTCAGACTAACTCTTGTATAACTGTTATAGAAATCTTTTTGTAAACACATGACATTTTTTTTAAAAACCAGTAATTATTAATTACCTTTTTTCTGCCATTATAACTGTTTAAAATAAGATTTTTTTTCCTCCAGGTTCAACTTCCAGTGTGAAATATAATCATTGATTGCAGTTCTTCAATTATTAGCTTCTATTGTGCCACCTTGAAAACAAAACAGAATATTAGATAACAATATACAGGCCACTTAACTTGAGTCTTGGTTAGTGAGGAAGACAGAAATGAAATTGAGGCATTTCACTCAATTTTAAAAACCTGGTGAACTTTACCCATTTTCTTTGTGATGTAGCCAGATAGAAAATAAAAGAACAGTATCTAAGTGATGAATCCATTGTACCTTTGGGCAATCAAAACTTTCACTTTTGGGCTGGAGAGATGGCTCAGAGGTTGAGAGCACAGAGTACTCAGCAACCACATGGTGGCTCACAACCATCTGTAATGGGAGCTGGTGCCCTCTTCTGGTTTGCAGGCACACATGCAGACAGAACACTGTATATAATAATAAACCCTACACTTTTAACATCAAATTAAATCTCAGTGTTTTGTTTTCTTGTTTTCTGTACCTCTGGTTGGCCTGGAATTTCTGGTCCTGTTTGTGCCTCCCAAGTACTGGGACTATAAGACTGTATTACCATGCCCAGCTAGCATGTGACACTGGCATATCCAAAGGAAAGGAGCTAGCACTGAGACTGACGAATCACCACTTCACTCTCTTCCCACAGGGTCAACCTGTATGATTCCTTTCTACGGCTGTCATGGCTGAAAACACAGACAGAAACCAGATTGAGGAACTCCTAAACAGAGTAAAGGAACTGGAGCAGGAGGTGAAAAGACTTAAAAAAGAAAAGACCAACAGTGTCAAAGACTCAAGCATCAAAGAAAATTCTTTAGGTTCTGGAAAAGCTAAGCGTGCATTTGATTTCAGTGCTCATGGCAGAAGACATGTAGCTCTAAAAATAGCCTACTTAGGCTGGGGATACCAGGGCTTTGCCAGTCAGGAAAACACAAGCAATACCATTGAAGAGAAACTGTTTGAAGCTTTAACCAAGACCCGATTAGTAGAAAGCAGACAGACATCCAACTATCACCGGTGTGGTCGAACAGACAAAGGAGTTAGTGCCTTTGGTCAGGTAAGGGCCAATACCTTGTTTCTCAAAGCAAGTAATAAAGAAAATCTGAGTGTACATACTGAGTCTTGAGATTATTTCTGAAACAGTTTTTCTCTGTAATTCCACAGGTGATTTCTCTGGACCTACGTTCTCAATTTCCAAGGGGCAGGGAATCAGATGATTCTGATTTAAAAGATGAAGCCGATGATACTGCTAAAGAGATCCGTTATACCCACATTCTCAATCGGGTGCTCCCTACAGACATCCGAGTACTGGCCTGGGCCCCAGTAGAGCCTAGCTTCAGTGCTAGGTTTAATTGTCTTGAGCGGACTTACCGCTATTTTTTCCCTCGTGCTGATTTAGATATTGTAACCATGAATTATGCAGCTCAGAAGTATGTTGGCACTCATGATTTCAGAAACTTGTGTAAAATGGATGTGGCCAATGGAGTGATTAATTTTCAGAGGACTATTCTGTCTGCCCAAGTACAACTAGTAGCTTGGAGCCTGGGTGAGGACAGAAGGCAAGAACCTTTCCAGTTATGTCAGTTTGAAGTGATAGGTCAGGCATTCCTGTATCATCAAGTTCGGTGTATGATGGCTATCCTCTTTCTGATTGGCCAAGGAATGGAGAAGCCAGAGATTATTGATGAACTGCTAAACATAGAAAAAAATCCCCAGAAACCTCAGTATAGGTAAGTTAAACTAAACTAGTACATCCTTTCTCTCATGATTATTGAAATAACTGACTCTGCTTTCATTAAATATTATATTTAGAAGACTTTATTTTATGTGTATGGGTATTTTGCCTGCATACCACTTGTGTGCTTGGTAAGGTAACCATAAAAAAAGGTGTCAGGTATTTTGGAATTGGGGTTGCAGAAGGTTGTGGCCTACTATGTACTGGGAATTGAACAGTGAATGCTTTTAACCACTGAGCCATCTCCCCAGCTCCCTTCACAAACTTCTGACTTGTAGAATGTTATGAACATGTTAGAGGGGATGCTATCTACTAGTTCCCTCATTGTTCTTTCCCATTAATAACAAAATAGGTATTTGGACTGGGCTTCTAATTCCCAGCTTCTGAAATTGTAGGGAAAGTAGAAAAGAGGTTTTTCTTTTGTGAACAGGCTGTGGCTAAATGACACCAGTAGTTCATTCCTAGGTTGTGAGAATGTCATGAACAAATCTGGATAAGTAACTTGTTCTAAATTTTATGGTATGATGGGGAGCCAAAATGTCTTACTTTCTTATCAGTTCATATCTTGATTTGTTACCACTGGCATTAACTTAATACTGATCAAATTGATCAATTTTTTTCTTTCAAAAAGGAGTTATAAAGTCACTCTAGATTAAAACAGTGTTGTATATTATATGTTACTAACCATTGACATTAGTAATCTTGTTTGCCCCTTAATCTCAACTAAAGCTCAGTGTTTAAAAAAGAAAAAGAACTATTGTCTAACTCCTGTGCATTCTCATTGTTTCTCTTTAGCATGGCTGTTGAATTTCCTCTAGTCTTATATGACTGTAAATTTGAAAATACCAAATGGATTTATGATCACGAGGTTCAAGAGTTCAATGTTACCCACCTACAACAGCTATGGGCTAATCATGCTGTTAAAACCCACATACTGTACAGTATGCTGCAAGGACTAGACTCTGTCATGATAACACATGGGGCAGGAGCAAACATGGATGAAGCAACAGAATGGAGAAACATTAAGCCCTCGGTCATAAAACAAAGTAGTGCCTTTGTGGAAGGAGTGAAAATGCGCACATATAAGCCGCTCATGGATCGTCCTAAATGCCAAGGACTGGAATCTCGGATCCAGCACTTTGTGCGTAGAGGACGCATTGAGCACCCACATTTACTCTGTAGGGAAGAAACAAAGGTCAAAAGGGACTGTGCTGACACAGAAGAAGAAAATACTGTTTTAGAGAATCCAACGAAGAGGGTCTGTAAAATAGAGGCAGAAATTAACAGTATTGTATAATCCCAGTAAGCTAGGATCTCTGCCAGGATCCAAGAACAACAACCAGCTAAAATTCTAATGATTGGCTCTTAAAAAGACCTAACAAGTCTTAAACAATAAAGGGTCGGGTCTACATGTTCTCTAGTCCCTATCCAAAAGAATTATGAAATGAAAGAAGCAAAAAGCACCTGTGAGCTATTCGCCCCTGGAAATCTGTGCCTTGTGTTCAAATTCATTAAAGCCTGATCCCACAAATACCATTTGTTGTTCCTTTTCTTATTGGCTAAGTCAGCAGCACCTCACATCGTTCTTTTCTAGGCAAAAGTGATAACCACTGATCTCAGAGACCTTTGCCAGAATATCTTACTTTCTTCCTGAATTCCAACAATTAAAGAGTGGATAGAGGGATTTAGTGACAGGTGTGAAGCTAGTGGGATCTACCTAACTCAGTGTAGCATAGTATGTCTTTAATGAGGCAGCTAAGTGCAGAGGCTGGCAATTTTTTTTCTGCCAAGGGTAAGAACAAATATTTTAGGTTCTGAAAAAATTCTATATTGCACTCTTATGACCCTTTAGAGATGTAAAACATTTTTCATTTTTTTGTTAGCCCAATTCTGGAAGGTTCAACTTTGCTGAAATGGGAAACAGTGTAGGGGTGGGTGGGTGTGTGATTTGAGCCAGTAAGGTGTACTGGCATACATCTATAATCCCAGACTTTGGGTGGAGGCAGGATAGGAGTTCAAGGTCATGTCTTCACTATATAGTGAGTTCAAGGCCAAGCTAGGCTATATGAAACTACTACTCAACAACCAAACAACAAAAAGCATTGAGTTTATGGTAGAAAATACAAGTGCTTTAAAGTTAGCATAGACTAATGTGACTACAAAGTGACAAAAGTTTAATTTATGTAGGCTAGTGTGCCAATTTATATCTTTAAGAGCCACTTAGATGTTTTAAAAGCAAGAAAATTATGTAGCAAAAGCACTACAAATATTTATTCCAACATGAAATTGTTAACTCATTGTCCTTTGTAACAATACCATAGCAAATGAACTTTGATTCCTACTTTAGTAACTGCCACTCTAATAGTGTTAAACACATTTACCAGACATGTTTACAATACCCAAATGTTTGGCAACTGACCAGTAACTAGTTTTGCTTACGTTCACGATTCAAAACATAGGGACTGCATCTGGAAACTGCTAAATATAAGAACACATGGACAATTAGAGACAATATTTAACTTGGTATTGTCTGAATGCTATATTTCCTAGGAATACAGTATATAATCACAGACTTGAGAGAATTCCACATTTAGAAGATAAAGTGGCTAGAAAAGTGTGGTGACTTGTGCAGAAGAAGGGGCACAATATTAATAACATTAAAACAGCTTTCACAACCTAGCAGAGGAGCCAGGGTAAATGTAACATTCTAAAAAGGATTGCTTTGTCCTTGATTTTTAAACCTTAATATCTGTGTGTATCACATGGGTGTCCACAGAGGTTGGGATAAAGCATCTTAAGATTCCTTGGAGCTGGAATTTGGCCTTTGTGAGCCATCTACTGGGTGCTGGGATTCCAGCTCTGGTCCTCTGATAAAGTAATTTCTTACCTTATTTTGGTTGCCTTGACTGGCAGTATTTAAGAAAAAGGAAAACCTAGAAAAGAAAAACAAGACTTTAAGAAATAGTCCTTATTTAAAGTCATGTTCAACACCCTAACTAAAAGGTGTTCTATTCAATTGAAGCAAGAGTTCAAGGCTTTAGATGTGAGTAAAATCCTTTCAGGAGATCGCCTAGGAATGAATCTAAGAGAATGGATTCAGTGGCCTTATGTTTGGTAGTCATCACATGAGAAGCAAATGAGAAGCCCCCAAATGTACTTTTTGCAAAATCACTGAGGTAATTATACAAACTCCAAGGTAAGGACTGATGCTAGGAAAATTTAAAGAAGAGCTTAAGGTTTACCCTCTCCATTTAAAAAGCAGAATTATTTAAATAGGTTTTGAAGTTTAATTGAAATATGTCTCAGTGTGTTTGTCTGTATTCTGGAGTTGGCCTGGGCCGACTTTGGACACCAAAGCCAAGAGGATTTTTAACAGCATGTTTTACAAGACATCCATAAAGTATTGTCTCTTTGTGTTCAAATTATGACCCCTTCATTTTACCCCTCAAATGTGTTGATGCTTACAGAGTGAAATGCAACTTTTCACAAGGTTATAGTCAATTCCTTTGGTTTCTAATAAAACACAACAATCTCAACGGTTAGAGAGAAACGTACACAGAAGCTAACCCACCAATATGGTTAATATTGACCAAAACAATAAAAACACCTTAAGCTGTGTAATCGTTACCATAGTTACAGCTTAAAGGATGGGTGGGATTTTAAACTCAAATTCCTGGGTGCGGATATAACTGAAATTACGGTGCAATTTAACTTCTAAGTCAAATGACAGACTAGCATTGGGTATTGAAAACTTAACAAACTTGAAAGGTCACTGTAATATTTTTGTCTGCGTTATTACTGTACAGCTTTTTTAGGGTTTATCTCTGCCCAGGAAAGGGTCACACAGTCGTTCTTTCAGTTTTACCCGCTATCCTAAGCCCTAAGCGCACTATGGAGGGCTGGATGTAGGATGCACCCACGGAAAGGTGTAACCCAAACAAGAGAAGACTTCCCTGCTCTTCGAACAATAAAAACACCGGTCGCACCATCTGGCGGTGGGCGTGCCGGGAGCCTGGCTCCTTCTCCAGGGACCCGTCCCCAGCCTCCACGCTGGCCCCGAGGGCTCAGTCGGCTCGGCCTCCAGGCAAGAGTGGCGCACACAGGGTGCACATTGTGACCTGGAGGATCTTGGGTGACCTGTGCCCCGGCAGCCGGCTAAGGACGACTCAGGCAGCGCACGCCTGTCTTTACCTTGAACGGAAGAGCCGTGCCAGACAGGAGAACGCAATCCACGCGCAGCGGTCCAGGGAAGAAGGAGCACGGGCCCCGCCGCACCCAGTCCCAGGAAGTGTCCCCCGCTGCCCGGCTGCGCGCACGTCACCAGCCGCCGCCGCCACCGCCGTTTAGTCTTCTCGTCGCCGCTCACTGCCGACCTCCGCTTCCCACTCACGCAGGAGTACCACTCGCCCACGCTCAAGGCAGTCGTTAACGGTCGGCCGTTCAAATTTAAATCCCGGAGAGAGCCCACGCCCTTGACCCCGCCCCACCTCTCTCATTGGCTTAGAAGCCAGACGTCCTCCAAACTCACGCAAAGATTGGTGCGCGTTTTCTTTCGTCCCTCCCCGCAGGCCCGGAAGCGGGGTATGGGGCGTGGAGCTGAAGTGGGAACCCGCCGGGCAGTGGCGCCGAATCCTTGGCCTTGGTTCCGTGGGCGTTAGTGTGGTGGCGGAGGGACAGGGGCCTGGAGGAACAAGACGCTGGCCCTGCGCGGTGCCCCAGCTGCCCTCGGCCGCAGTCGGCGGCGGCGGAGGGGAGCGGACGGGAGTGTTCTGGAGCGCAGCTGGCCCGGCTTGTGGGTCGGCCTCCTCTGCAACCCGCTGTAGGACGTCCAGACCAAAGCCAGCCACAGGGTTCCCGCGGCACAATAAATTATTACCTGACATTCTCTGTGTGTGTGTGGGTTCCCGCGGCACAATAAATTATTACCTGACGTTCTCTCTCTCTCTCTCTCTCTCTCTCTCTCTCTCTCTCTCTCTCTCTCTCTCTCTCTCTGTGTGTGTGTGTGTGTGTGTGTGTGTGTGTGTGTGTGCGCGCGCGCACGCGCGCGCGCCCATAGTTCTAGTCATTGGAATGCATCGAATCTAAAGAGTTTTGTCCAAATCCTAACGGTTGTATTTGCTAACACAAATAAGCAGGGAACACATTATTTCTTAAAATCTAGAATGATTGATTAACTTTTCCAAACACTCATCCTGTCTTTTACCTAGCTCACTTTTTCTCAGTGCCCTTGCTCTACTTCTGAGGCACTTGAGGACTTATTTAAGAAAACTGAGTGAATGAAATCGGGATAATGGCAGAAGTAGACTGGGGAGTTTTTAGCGACTGCCGCTTGATTGAAACATTTCTCTAGTGCACACATTGTTTCCTCAGGAACAAATATCCTGTCTTCATGTTATACTACAGCTGTTTGTTTTTTTCATAGAACCTCCAGTTAACATGTCTCAAACAGAAGTGTAGATGATCTATATTCTTACCCACTTTTGACTACATTCAGCTTTATCCCTATATTTCAAGCTAGGAGCTTTTGGTGCAGCCCAGGCTGGCCTTGATCTCAAGATCTTCTGTCTGTTTCTACTAGTACTGCAATTATAGTACGTAACCACAGTACTGTAACATACACGATAGCTCAGATGTTTTAGTATCCATGTTTAACTTTTCACTTGCTTCTTCATCAAGTCAGAATTCAGTTAGATTTGCACATTGTGATTGGTCAGTTTATCTTGTTTCTTTTAGTATAGAAATGTCTCCATTTCCCTCCAAGTTACTGATTTTGATGAATCCCTCTAGTGAGTGTCTTCCTTAGCTTCTGACACAATTCATAGCTGATTTTAGCCCACCAGCATCTTTATAGAGTCAAATATTTTGAACTGGTTATATGGCCATGCTTAAACTAACCAATCCTTATGATATCTTTGCTTACCTTACCCCCTTGTTAACATTTTAAAATCTCCTTAGCTGTAGTTCTCAGATTATATCCCGTCTCTGTCATTTTTTTCTTCTTTGTCTTCTCAGTATAGGGGAATAATAATAATGACAACAGCAAAATGAAAATAAGCACCTTTCTTTTGACATGGCTGCTCTTCTTTCAGCTTGTTTGTTCATCTTCACTCTCTTGCTCAGTGGCTTCTGAGTTTTGCCTCATCTGTAAACTCAGGCTACTTTTTACAGTCTCCAGTGATCAAAAGTCATCAACTTCAATTGTCTTGCTCAGTCCTACAAGCATTTGATAATTCATCCAATAAATATTTATTGGGCACTCATGCAGTTTACTGTGGACTGATTTGATAATTGAATAAAAATTCCAGCAAGTGGGAGGCTGGAAATGCAGGATCTTGAGTTTGAGGCAAGCCTGGGCTATATAATGAAACTGTCTCAAAACACAAGAGGCTGGGGATGTAACTCATGGTAAACCACTTGCCTAGCATGTACAGGATTCTGGGTTTAATCCTTAGTACCAAAACTAAAAGACACAATCAGCCCTTGTGACACTTCTTGTCATTTAGGAGTAATTGACATTGATCAATCACAAAATAAAATCATGGCCTGTCAGCACTAATGGGTGGCAAATTATTCAGAGAGAACTTCTAATAAAAAGGACACACAGTATTAGGTCATGAGCCAAGAACTGAAAGATAAGTGAAAGGACATGAAGGGCAGAGATGCAGTGAAAGATATGTTCTAGGTAGTCGGAAAGCATATGCAAAGTTCCAGGCAGAGGGGAGACAGCTTTGAGAAAGTGAAAGAGAACTAGGAAAACGGTAGGTGGTAGAGATGAAATTAACAGGTAGTTCATGTAAGTCAATGGGAAGGATTCTGATTTTATCCAAAGAGTTACAGGAAACTGGGTGTCTGAAGTAGAATTGGGGTAAGCTATGAAATACTTAGGCTTACACTTGAAATTATTTTCTCTTCACTGAGAAGACTGGATTAAAGAGTGCACAATTCTATGTAAAATCTAAATGGAGATAAGTACATATTCCAGGTGTGAGTTGTGGTACTTTAGGCTGCGATGGTAATGGCCAGAATATTAAGAAAGGTACTGGTAGATGTATTTTGTGTGTATGACCAGAGCATAGATTTTTCTGAGGTTGAGACATGAGAGGGCAGGCATGCTTTCTTAGTTCATAAGTTTCTTGTCTGTACAGATGAATGCTGTAACCTTGGGGGAGGTAGAGTTAGTTTTTGAGCATATTGAATTTGAGATGTGGGTTAGTCTGCATTGTTTCTGTGACTTAACAGAGAAATTTAAATGGAGGAAAGATTTATTGTGCTTCAAAGGTTGTGTTCTTGCTCACTTAGCTCTGGTTCTGAGGTGGTGAGGCAGAATATCATGGTGGGTACATGTAGCAGAACAGAGCTGCTCATCTTATGGAAGTTGGGAAGCAAAGAGACTGAGAGGGAGATAAGAAGGGTCTGGGGCATACCCTGGTTACCTACTTCTTCTAACCAGGTCCCACCTCCTAATAATACCACCAAACTGTGAACCTTTACTGGGTTAATCAACTGACAAGGTTGGAGCCCTCTGATCTAATCACCTTCCAATGAGTAGATTCACCCAGTCCTTCAAACCATTGAGCTTATGGGATGCTATGCATCCAGAAGATGCTTTGAGATGTTCTGAGGAGATGAGAGTAAGCAGTTAGATTACAAAAGTTTGTTGTGTTGATGGAGAATTGTCTCAATGGTTAGGAGCACTTGTTGCTCTAGCAGAGGACTTATGTTTGATCCCTAGTTTCTGTGTGCCAACTTTCAACCCTCTGTAACTCCAGGCTCAGGGAACCCAATGCCTTCTGACCTCCACAGGCACTAGGCATGCACATGGTGCACATACATACATCAGGCAAAACATACGCACACACAACACACACACACACACACACACACACAGTACAATAAAATAAGAAGTGTATTAAGTGATATGTGAGAAGTAAGGGAAAAGTTTTGTTCTACACAACAATCTTCTTTTTTTGTAAACTTGGAGTGCTCAGTAAGAGACAAATACATACTAGCATAGTACCTACCAAATAACTCAACATATTATAGATATGATACGTTATTTTTATTCTCATTAGATAATGGCTCCATGCCTTTCCTTATATGAATCGATCTGTCCTAATATCATTGCCAGATGAGGTTTCCTAAAATGACAGTAAGTCACTCTGCTTACATACCTGCAGAATAAATTCTGTCTCTGGATCAATGTTGGTGATATGAACAGAAATGGCTCATATATTTGAATGCTTAGTCACTAGGGAGTGATGCTATTTGGAAAGGATTAGGAGTTCTGGCTTTGTTGGAGTAGTTGTGACCTTACTGAAGGAAATGTGTCATTGGGTATTGACGTTGAGGTTTCAAAAGCCTATACCAGGTTTGGCATTTCTCTTTTTTGCCTACAGATCAGGATGAATCTCTCAGCTACTTCTCCAGCACCCTGTCTGCCTTCATGCCACCATGACAATAATGGAAAAACTTATGAAACTGTAAGCAAGCCCCAATTACGTTCTTTCTTTTATAAGAGTTGCCTTGGTCACAGTGTGTCTCTGTTAGTTTCTGCTGCCACAGCAGCAGCCAGCCTCTGTTACCAAAGCAGCTACATCATCACCTGTCACCAGGTTCCTGACCTTTGTATAATAAAAAAGAGGAATGTTAGTTTTTGCTGCTGCAGCAGCAGCCTGCCTCTGCTGCCAAAGCAGTTATATCATCACCTGTCACCAGGTGCCTTTCCACCATCAGCTATATGACATCTGATGACCTAAGTGCCTTTTTTCCCAAGTATTACTTCATTTATATATATATATATATATATATATATATATATATATATATATATATATATCTTTGTATAATGTTATATCTGTTATGCTTTCCATACATTGCTTAATAAACTCACCATCAGTATGACTTGATTTTCTTCCTATTAAATATGCTCCTACACAACTAGCTTCTATAATCTGAATTGAATAATTAGAATCTTAATTGGAACTCCCTTTTTAAAGATTATTGTTATTGGGAAGACAAATTTACTTTATAGTTCTGTTACTTTGTCCTTATGACACAGCCTTTGATATCCACCAAATTTGGCAGCATGTTATTGCATATGACACCTTTTTAAGTGACAGTTCTTCAATGCATAAACAAATTCTCTAAATATTAAGCAGAATGCTTACAAATTTCCTTGGACAGGACTACCAGACAGAAACTTAACAAAGAAACAAAGGAACTAATAGAAGTTATGACACAATTGGGCTTAACGACATCTATAGAACATTCCACCCAAACACAAAAGAATATACCTTCTTCTCAG